GAGGAAAATGAATGTGCCTTAAACATGATCTTCATCATTCTAATGAGTTATTTAGTTACACATCCCTCTCTTATTGCTAAGTAGGAGGATATATCATGATAGCCGTTCTGCAGAATAGTCAGCATCACAAAATCAGGTTCCTTTTACAAGTTTGTCTGCTTAACACCTTATTTGTGCACATACCCAGTATTTTGTATTTGTGCCTGTCTGAGAAAGTTTTATGTATACAAATCTTAAAAGTATCCAAGGAAAAACAACATCATCTATCATACTTCTAAAATGGTTGTCAAGAGTCAGAAGAAAGTATTATCAGAAATTCAGAACTGAATATTTTTAAAATTATCTCATTCAGAAGTGGTCCTATATTAAACATATACAGACAACAAGGTGTTTTGGTTCCTGATTCTATCACTTGAAATTATTAGTACTCCCCATCCTATTTCTTCTTCAGTGTTCTAGAAATCATTTTATATGCTGCCCCCACTTTCCTCTCTTCCCCGAAAAACTTCGACATTGCATACTCTATTGAAAGTTTCCTGATTAATCACAGCAACTTTTCATGTGACTATTTAGTGAGAAATAATAATAAATTATATTTCTAAAAAGGCTTATTTACCAGTGTGAAAAGAACAGCTAAAAAAATAAGGGCAAATAAGGACCTTCTAGTATACTGAAAACATCCATTTTCTTCATAGATGAGATTCATATTCACATCTAAACATTTTACAAACATCTATACATAGTTTGTTACACTTGCAGTAACATAAACACATTGCTAGAAGAACTAAAGCCACATATATACTGGTTTGGGGTGCCATGGAAGAAACCAGCATCAATGCTGGCAAAACCATCAAAACCAGCATCCTAGGGCAGTTAGTGAGCAGCAGCTCATATCCACAGTGCTCAGACCTAGCAGGAATAGATTTGCCATGTTCTTACTGCATCTAGCTGGTTTCCTTGGGAAAGAAGCCTACAAATCAACAGGATGTATGAGGTGTGGAGAATCATGGAATCAGACTCTGAAACAGAAGAAGTCAGACAGATTGACAGGCGTTATCTTCAGAAAACCTTTCTCTTGGTCCTAACTCTTTTACACTTGCACTTTCTCTGTTTTCTTGCTACATGCTCCTTTGCTTTTTTGCTATCTTATTTCTTCAAGTTTTGTTTTGAATAATCACTGTTGCCTCTCCAATCTTTAAGTTCCTTCATGCCTTCATTTCATTTGCTCCTTTCTTCATCTGTGGTGGGAAGAAGAATAATTTTTTTTTTTTTTTTTTTTTTACTACAATACCTATTATTCTGTAATTACTTTCTACCAGTAAAAGTATTAGGGCTTTCTGACTGCTGGCTAGCACAGTTCTGGTGGGGAGGATGGATGAAATACAGAGCGCTCTTCTCATAGACAGTCACACCTGAATTGAGGAACACAAAGTTGAGGTGGGGATTCTGAACTCCCAGGCCCCCCAGACTCTTCCTGGCATAATCTTTTACCAATTATACAGGTTATACTATTGTCTTCACAATCCACTCACTCATCTGTAGTAATTTACATTGTTGAAGTGAAACCAGACTGAAGTAACACATTTGAGATGTTTTTCATTATCTGAAATAATGAAACCTACTTATACTTCAGATTCTAATTTCATATACAGAATGGAATCTGCTGTTTGGTTGATCTTAGTAACTGAACTAATCCATTAGACTAATTCATACATATTGCATATACATGGAGAACAGAATATACACATTTCAACTTGCAGCTTAGATGATGAATTTGCAAATGATTGTCTGACTGACAAAAATGCAGAAAGAAACAATTCCTTGGTAGAAATTATATAGGAATCTTGCTGGATACTCAGCTCTTGACAGATACTCCAAAAGCAGCAAATATACCAGGCATTTATTCCCATTTTTACCTGGACAGAAGATTGTGACCTTTCTTTTGACATTACACCCCAAAGCTGTTGGGGTACAGTCATCTTATATTAACTTAATAAGCTAATATATACAGACTCTCTCTCCAGGCAGAAGAGTGGAACCAAAGCCACAGGGAAGATAGCTCAAGGAAGCATTTATACTACCGTACCATCTTTTGTGGTGGGTAGAAACAAGACCAAGTACTTGAGTTTTGACCACTTTAGCAAGATTTCCCATTTGCTGCAACTTAGGTTAGCCTTAGCACTTGGGTAACAGTCTTCAGCGCATAATAGCTGAGGACTGCTAGGAGATTTTTAACAAAGAGCCCTCTCCTCTGCAGTGCATACACATTCTTTCTCTCTCCACATCAGGGCAAGAAGCCCCAAATTTAGTGATCAGCAAGAGCCTTGTACAAGATTGCTCTCTTTTCTAAAAGCATTCCTCTAGGGAATTAAAAGAGATCAAGCAGTTTGAGAAAGGGCAATCTCAGCCTGGGCTGAATACAAATCAAATATATAAACAAAGTTGCACATCACTTAGACTTACTGCTGGTAAGTATTGACAGCAGCATGGCCTTTTCCTTTTCCTCAGACTGTCTTCTCTTCGAGTCTAACTCACATAGATCAAAATAATTATATATACCGCTCTTCTGTACTAGTATCAAGATGTTCCTGACACTAGCTGCTGCCAGGTTTAAATGGGATGAAGGGTTATCTATTAGGGCAGACTTATTAGCAGACATTACTTTTAATAAGGATTTAAGAGTGCCTACTTTGTGTGCAAGCTTGTTCACTTCCAAAAGAACTGTAGTAATAAATAGTAAATTCCAGTCTGAGTTTAATTTCCAAAGCAATTCTATGCTTTCAAAATGATTAGGTTACAATTCCTTTCCATCTTTAAATTACAAAAGCCAGAAAGAGTTCCTCACTGTTTTGATTCTGGTTAAGATTTTAAACTGTCTCTTTCAGATAGGTGGCCTAAGAAAGCTGCACAGTTTATCTCCTACCTGCTTAAAGGAAACATTAGTTCATGTCTATTTTACACCAAACTCAGACTGGAAAAGGAATGATTGGTGGGAGAAGGGAGGAAGCTCAATGACTATGGAGATATGGAATTTTGTAAGAAGTCCCAGTGGAAAAAAAATAATGGCAAATGTATTAATGTTTCCGCAACTCAAAAAAAATTAATGAAAAAAATGAAAAGTAGTATATTTGCATCTGCATAAATAGAGCTGTTCTGAAACTTTATTCAGATTGTTAATGTTTTCTCACTGAAGGAAACAGAACAATGATTTTTCTTCCACTTCAGTTATGAAACCAAGGCAAATGGTTTCCTTCCTGTTTATCCCACCACACCCCTTCTGAACTATTTGCCTGATTGACAGGCTACATCCCAAGTGAACAGAGATTTGTTTAAAGGTGAGAGGAGAGTTTGGAATGGGACTTAAGGCTGAAGACTGTACATCAGCCTCTAGCACTCATGATAGTCAGCACTGCAATGCTCACCTTAAATGAGATAATATAGGGAAGGTAATCTACAATCAGCTAACAAAGTTTAAAAATTCAGGTTTTGCCACATTAAGCTCTAAATTGCATTTAATGGATTGATGGATAAAGTCTAACCAGTCTTTTGGCATATGAAGACAAACCACTATATTTGATTTATTTTTTATTACAAAAGTAGTGAGCCTAACACCTAAACCGAATATTTTTAATTTTAAAATTATTTTGAAAAATTTAAGGAAATTGTTAATTTTTAATTCAAATAATTAATAGGAAATTTTAAAAGTAACCGAGAGAAAATCTGACAGAAAGCCAATTCCAAGATATCTGAGCTACAGACTTTTTCATACTTTTGCCTTTGCTGCACCAAAATATAGTGGCTATTCATGCAGTGCCTCTATGCCAGAAAACTTCCTGATATAAAATCAACAAGAATGAGACCAATTACATATTCGGACCTATATTTCTTCCTTTCTCCAATATTTTGAATAGAAGGGTGATTTCTATTTGTATTCTACAACTTTGAAAGTCCACTAATTGTAAGGCATTCTAGAATAAATTTAAATAGTCTGGATGAGCACCATCCAATTTCTTATGGACAGGTGTTCATATAAAAATTCAACAGTATCAGCAACAAGCTGGCAGTTACTCATGGAGTGAGGGGTGTTAAGAAATTATTTGGCTCACAGCTGAACTTCCTATTTAACCACAGCAGTGATCAAATTAAGTCAAGGTCAAGTATGTGACAGAGCAGCTGTGCCATGCAGCAGATAAGGACTGCTGGTGTATATATATAGTACGTTTGTTTTGATTTTTTAATCCACCATTAGTGTCTTGCAGTTCAAGGCTGCTGAAGGAGAGAAAGTGGCCTCCTCCACTCTCAGTCTTTACTTCAGGCTCCCCAGCTTCAGCTCCTTCCCAGGCTGCTTGGAGCCTTTGTGGTGGAGCAGCCCCCTAGCACTCACTGCATCACTATAGTAGCTCACTGAAGTCTATAAGCAAAGCTCTACAGCTGTCCTATATGGCAGAATAACTGACAAATCTTTCCCCCACTGAATGAATGATGTTTAAATCTCCCTAACAGAATGAAATGACTGTATTGCGGGTGAGGTTCTTGGCTGCTGAAAATCTTACTCTCAGATGTAGCCCAGCTAGAACTCTTATTAACCACTACAAATATATGCTTTCAACATAGAGTGGTTTTGGCCTCTGTAATGCTTTGGCTTCATAATCTATGATTTTCCCGATTCAGTAAATGAAAATAAATTGATTTATGGCAGTTAATGCACAGGTACTGAAAACAGTGGCTGTAATTGTTTGGTACCATCTGTCCTCCTCTTATTCCATCTGTTTCCTTCACTCATTGCACTGGAATCCTGCTTCACAAAATGGAAACCAAACCCTTTTGTGTAGCACAGTGCAAGTTACCTAGTTACCCCAGCTGAAAGACGTTTTCAAAATATATCACTCTCCCTGTACTCTGTAGAAGGCAACAGACATTGATTTTGTTGTTAATATATGTCCAAGCAATCCTCCTTTCAACAAAATATACAACTGTCAGTAAATTACCTCTAATTTCAGATTGCACACTTCAAAAGAATACCATAAAGGCTCATCATCTTAATCAATTATTGATTACACCTTGGGGACTTGCCACTGATTCCACTTGATGCTGCTTTTAAAATGGTAAGTACCTTCATAACCATACAATATTATAAACTGGTTTAATTTTTCATAGGTAATGCAACAGTATAGATGCACAGCATTATATGATTTCATTGGACAGTATAGCTTTTATTAAACTGTGTTGACTGAATTTTTTTATCGTTTAACAGTTCTTTGGCCTGTTAATGATTTAAGATTTTGATTTGACCCTTTACACTAAATGTAAGTATTTAACAGGAAAAGAAAACCTAAGAAAACTCTCCCCGCTTTACAATCAAAGATGGAAGATATAATATAAAAGGCTGAAATTATTTTTTTGATAAATTTTCTGTAGCACAAATACAAAAGCCACTACTAAAAAACATTTATTCTATGGGATAATACAAACGAAAGATACTTCCGTTATCTCATCTGTAAGGCAGTGTGGTAAGTGAAGTCATTCAAAGGTCAATAAAGGGGGGGGGGTTGCTGTTGCTCTATAAATGGGCTCACACTTTAAATATCAGTTTCTCAGTACTCATGGTGTCTTTCTTTCCTATACTAACATGGTATTTAGAATATCTACATGCTTTAAATATGCTGTTTTATGCATTTACCACTTCATTAGTAGCATCATATTAAAAGGGAATAGTTAAATTTTATTTGCAGCTACAAAGGACTTTTGACAGATACTGAATTTATACAGAATAGAATATACAAGAATACTAGCATAGAGTACAGTTCACAGGAACATGCACTTAAACACACAACTTTGACTAAGATGATAGTAATTCTACTCATCACTTTTTTTTTTTAAATCCCACACGTTATTTTACCAAAATTTCACCAGCATAACTGCCTGTAAGAATGTTATTGAGTCAAAAGCAGTAAATTACCTCTTGAGACACAGAAGGTGCATTTATAATAGAAGGGACTTGAAAAATATGTAGTGAGAACTTAAGTTGGAAATTAAATGTTTTTCCAAGATGAAAAATGGAAACAAGTGCTGATAATCGCACTTTGTACAACAGAACTTTCATATTAGATATCTGTTACAGTGATGTGACTAAAAAAAAATGAGGACTGCAATTCTTTTAATCTTCATGTGTACATTTAAATACATATAGCCCATTTCTCCTTTCTATGGCAGAGTTTGAATTACAAATGAAAGCAAAAAAACAAATGGCCGGTATTAATCATACAGAAAAAAAAAATAAAGTCTATATACCTCCTCTGGTCTTTTAAAAAGCATTAATAATAAAGTATTTGCATAAAGTTAAAGCAAGAAAACACTTATATATGAGAAAACATGCATCTTTTTGACATTTGTGAGCTACTGCTCTTGATCTGCTCTATAAATAGAAACTAATTATGGACAGACTAAAGACAAGACAATGCCCTAGAAAATAACAGAGACTCTCTTTTTTAAATATACGCAAAGTAGGGTGAGTAAATCGATATCATACAGATACACAAACATGAAACACATTTGAATTCTAAATCTTTTTTGGTCTAGTCTTCCTCCTTTTACAAGCAATGGTTAAACTTCCACCAACTCCATTCAAAGCAGAATCAGCCCTGATGCATTCTTTCTCTAGTAATATTTTCTGGCCTACAGAGTATCAATATTGACTGTGAATGTCAGAACAACTGTACAGGCTCTAGGAGCCGGGGGGGGGGGGGGGTGGGGGTGGGGGGGGAGTATTCAGTCCTCTAAACAAATGCTCGAGCTCTGACTTTTAAGTGAAGACAGATCAGCAAGTCAGCTGCTGTTCATACTGCTTTCTTACTCATAAGCAAAAACCAGAAGCTTGGGGAGTGCTTAGTAACATAAACCATTCCTTCCAAGGAATTTGATATGAGTTTTCTTTTAAAATAACTATTCTCCTGCTTTGGTTATAAATATAATTTCAGAAACAAGTATGATCCAAGGCTAAATTCCAAACCCAAAAGCTGACAGAATATAGGGGTCAGCAGTGAGGTTGAAATTTCAAATTAATATGCTGAGTCAGTCCTGACAAGGTGGGTGTTAAGGCTTCTCAGTTTCAGAGTACTTCAGCTGCTGTCTTTGGACAGTAATGTTTCCCAGACTCACTGCAGAAGTGCATATCAAGCTGTTTCTTAGAGCAAATAGCAAACTGTTTATATATCAGCAAAAGGAGGCTGGCAAAGGACAAAATAGAAGGCACTTCAGCCACCCATAGCTGGAGAGCACCATTAGAGAAACTGAAATGGAACCAAGTGGGAAAAGTTATCTTCCCTGAGAGCTGGAGCAAGGAGGTTGCTGGATGGAGCCGCAGAGCTCAGCCAAGTTAAAAGTTGCATGCTGGATTTCACAAAATTGAATACAACCATGCCCGTTATTTTTAACATCTGCACTAAGAGAAGGGAGATTAAGATGCCAGAAATGATTATCCTTCACAGGCAGAGTCACTCAGAAATCCAATCTGTATGATTGCAGATACTTGCAAACATTGATTCACCAGGATAGAGCACTGAGCTACAATTCCCATAGTTTTAGCGCCATGCAACAACCAAGCAGTCAAAAAATTTGTCCCGTTAGAACAGTGTACAAACTGACAATCTGCTATGCTGCTTTACAAAATCATCATGGGAGGAAATATCTTTAGGTTTGCCTCAACCTACCATCTGTCCACACAAAAAGTCAAAATGCATTAATTTACATACAACAACTCGCCAGCCAGTGGCAGCAGCCATTAAGCATTATTCTTTTCCCCCACCCTTCACCTTCAAAGGGACTAATTCTGTATCCCCCTTTCAGTCATGGCACACACATTTTCTGTGAAGAAAATAAACCAAAGCAACTGGATATATATCAGTGTGCAAAAATGCACAGTCTCGGGTGGCATACACAACCCAGTGCGCATGCTCTCCATTTGCTATGTACTGCTACCCTGAGGTGCAGACTATTTGCACAAATACAGGGAATGCTCAGAGTCAGCAGGAGGCAGCACTTGTAGCCTAGACCAGTCCTAGCCTGAGCCTTCAGACACCTATTTCAAACCAGCTGGACATTAACTTAAATAGCATTTACTTGAGTTTCAAATAAATTACACATTCTTATTCCTAACTTCCTGTTTCAAGAGTGCAACAACATTTTAATCTATCCCTAAAGTGAAGACAAAATGAATCATGTAAATCTAAGTGGATACATTGGGCATGCTAAATGAAGAACGGGCATAGTCATTTAAAGTAAAAGCAATTAGATCACAGGGAATGCATTTAAATACATACAGCAGCAGTTATTCCATTTCCAGCTACTTGAGACTATGAGACCATAACCTGAAAATTTAGCCAATGACTTTTGGTTTGTAGACAAGTGCTAAACTGCAGGATTTTAGCTTTCCATGGTTAACTGATCAGAACATGCTTTTCATTCATTCTTGCTTTTCAGATTTTATTGTTAATGCAAAAAATCTGCATAATGCTGAAAGCTGAAAGTGCAGTGTCAAATAAATGGAAATTAACATCAAAATATCAGGGCCTGTTGCACTTTTTGGTTATTTTTCATATTTAATTAACTGAAAACTTCACTTCTGAATTTTAATTCACTAACAAATAACATCATTAACACAAAATTATGATGGCCTGTGGTGTTTCATGTCCTTCCAGAAGGTTGACTTCAAAACATACAAACTTTGGAGGGGGGTGGTGGCAAGCAGGAAACACTCTGGAACCACCTTATCTTGCAAAATTTCCTGTACAAACTCAGATTGAATGCGATTGTGGAGGTGAGAATAGAGCAGGGATTACATAAAGCAAACTGTGGGAATGATGAATGGAGGAACTTATCAAAGAAAAAGGGAGTATCCTCAAGGCAGGAGATACAACAAAATAACTATCTGCATTAATTTAGAGAAAAAAAGAAAGCTGTTGACAACATGTTCACATAGCCTTTTGAAAGACAGGGAATTAAATTGGAAGGATTAAATAGGATTTATCAATCATCAGAGGGATACATCTCTTTCTTTTCTCCCCTCCCACGTTCTGCATCATCAAGTTCAGCATTATCAGTAGAACTTTTTTCACCTTCTCAAATAAAGTTATGAACAGCAGTCCTGATGCATGGCAAAAGTTGCTCAGCTGTGCCTGGTTCTCTCTGCTACTGAATAATCTATTGTAATCAATGTATTAAAGAATAAACCCAATACAATTTCCATTATGGCAATCTGAGCAGCTATACTAAAATTACTGTTAGCTATGTATGTACATGCTGAGTTTAGCCCTCTGTAGAGGACCCCAGGCTTGGCATGAAATTGCTCTTCAGCTTTGATAGGCAAACAAGAACAAACAGCACTGATGTTCAGATCATCACAATGGTGCTATCTACGTTGCAAAGCAAAGAGGTGAAATTTCACTTCACTCAAGCATCATATCTCATAGAAAGAAATAGCAATTGCTTGCTTTATTTATACAAGTTTAGAGGACACTGACATGCATACATACAAAAAGGAGCACCGAGTGCAGTTCTGTTAAGTGCTACAGGAGAACTGCAGAAGAAATGTGTGAAAGAGAACCATACATAGGCCCAGCCCTCAATAATGTCAACGTTGCATATATGTCCAGGATAACCCTGAAGTTATGCCAAAACACACTATGCTAGTGGCCAGTCTATTACTTGCTTTATTGTGCCAAAGCATTTATAGGTAAGTGACAACTGCTTGGTAGCTCACACAGGAACTTTTGATCTCTTCTGGTCAGGTTATTGCAGCCACCTATCTTCTATTTCTTGCATTAATCCTTTGCTGTTCCCTTTGTCCCTTCCTTTCAGACACTGTACAGGTTTTGGCTCAGTAGAGCTAGTTTTCTTCATAGCAGTTCATAGGGTGCTCTGTTTTGGACTTGCAACCAGAACAGTGTTGATAACACACCAATGTTTGAGCTATTGCTGAACAGTGCTTGTGCAGCATCAAGACCATCTCAGTTTCTCATGATGCCCAGCCAGCGAGCAGGCTGGAGGTGCACAAGAAGTTGGCAGGGGACACAGCCAGGACAGCTAACCCCAACTGTCCAGAGGGATA